TTCTATATTTGGTTTATATTTTTGCAAATAGAAAGGTGCAGGAAAGAGCTAGAAGAATAAACCCAAAAGCTTTAGAAAGCAAAAGGTTGATTCTACATATGTAAAACAATCTCAGGTGCACAACCTGAATCTCTCACTTTATATAACAGAAACAACTCTTCTTAAGAGTGGGAATTGCTGGCTGGGGGAGAGCTGGCTTTTCACATCCAGGACCTTTCACAAGTGCCTCCCCAGCCAGAAGCTGCCCGGGTTCAGCAGTTAAGGAGAGAGGAGGCTATGAGGGGTTGGATCATGCCCAGCCATCAACATGACAGGGTGCATGAAACATGTTCAAGTACATGGGTCCCACTGTAAGGCTATGGGGCTTTGTGAGAGGAGGGGCTGGGAATCACCTCAGATTTTCCCATGAATCTTCCTCCTGTGCTTCCCTTGAGCTCCCTGGCATCTATGGAGGAGGGGATATCCAAGAACCTTTTCTTGGCTGGTGTCACTGTGAGAAGCTGGTAGCTGAACGCTTCTTATCTGGGAGAGGAAAAACGTAAAAGAAGAGCAGGAAGAGGAAATGAAGCAACATATCTGTAAGTGGTTGAGTGTTAAGGAGCCTGTTAGGGGCCACTGAACTGAAATTAGCTCTGTTGTTATGAAAGTAGTAAAGTTCTTCAAAGCAAGCTTCTTCATTCTGGTTGTGCTCTATATTCTTCCAGCCAAGCAGCACAGTTTGTTCGGCATAACAACTCCTGACAGATTACTCTGCAGAGTCCTTTTGGATGCTGAGGAACTGAGCAGTTCTTCATTCTCCGGTGGAGTATCCAGTGTTATCACAGTGTAGTGGGCTGCAGTGATTCCTGCAATTACTCATGACTGATTTATCACTTAGTTGTAGGAATTCAGTTCAAATAGATTTTTTTCACCCATCTCCCTTGGTCCCTAATTGATTTTTCTTTTTAATGCTGAATCTTTGACTTCCTCTCATAAAATAGATTAGAGTCATTATAGCTGCATGCTTTTTAATCATTCTGCTGCATAATTACTGTTGCTGCTGTTGTCTTCTGGTGTACACTGTTTCTTTATTAGCAGCCCTTATTGCCAGAAGCTTTAAACATTTAATAATCTGTCAAGGTGGTAATTTGTTGTTTTTCACTTGGAGACCTTTTAAATGATACCTTGAAGCACCTGGCCTGGTCAGATGCTTAAATATTCACTTATCTCTGTCTGTTTGGTGTCATGTTATTTTTAATTACCTTTCTTTTGGGTAACCAAAGTTACCCATTCATCATAGAGAAAATGTCAGCAGGTCACATGCAACTGCATCAAGCAGGAGCAAAACAGCTTCCCAAAAATGTTTATGAGGTTAATGGCCGAAGATAATGCACAGGCAAGCTTTCATATGCTGGCACTAGCAAAAGAGCCTTACTGGAGCCTGATCCAGCATTTGCAGTAAATGCAGGCTGTAGTGGTTTCCATAACCCTGAGGGGTTATACCACCATTTCTTCTTTTTAATGCTTTTTGGGGTTTCCATTCAGGGTCCCTGCAGAAACATAACCATCCTTCTCCACGAGCTTCTGTAGGCATTTCCTATACAGCATGCCAGCTCTGGAGCAGCTTGCCTTCCTCAAGTGCCAGAAAAAGCCAGGCAGTTCATGAGAGGTATTTTATCTCTATAAAAGGCTTTTAGAACTCAGGTCTTACTGAACTGAGTGTAAGTCGCAGGGCTGTGTCTCCTTAAGGAGTCCTGTGAGGCTGTTCCTCAGCAGCTGGTGTGTGCATCAGCCTTTGGTCATCCCTGATGGGCAGGACCGCTGGATGATGTCATTTTAGAACAGTGACAGACAACAGTGTCCTCCGGTGTCAGAGCTGTGAGCTCACATGGAGTGCACAGCCAGGACACCCTGTCTGCCATCAGGACAAGGTGGTGGTGGTCCTGCCTCGGTGGCTGCTGCTCACCCAAAGTGCTTGCTGGAGCCACCTTGTGCCCTGGGTGCCCATCACAGGCATGGGCACATCACTCTGCAAGGCAGCTCTTCCTGTGTCCACCAGGTGATCAGGGACTGGAGAGTGTGAGGAAGGGCTGGAAGAAGTGAAGAGGTCAGCACAGATGACTGAAACTGGGGATACGGTGGCCTGTTGTTAGGTTAAAAGGCCATGGTGGTGAGAAGATGCTCAGTTTTCCCCATCCTCTGGGGAGATGACAAAAGGTAATGGGTTTCCTTGGACTAGAAGAAGGATATAAAACTTCTCAGTGGTGAAATATGGTGAAGCTTAGACACAGACCACGGGGGGGACCTGGCGGCATTTCAGCTGCTGGTGGTTGCCAAAGAATGCATGAGACATAAGTCTGTCAAATATAGCACACGTATGAAGAAAGCCTCCTTTCTGGCAGGGCAGTGGGTCAGGGTGCCTCTTAATTCTCCTCCCCCTCCTGCTTTTGTGCTTGGAAGTGCAATCCAGAGGAAACGGAAACACTGGGATTTGTGCATGCTAAGCTGAAAGCAAAACCACTCAGTAAAAGTTGGGTCATGGTTTTTGATGTACACAGGAAAGAGTAAAATGCAAAGGAAGGCAGCAATCATTTATGGCTGAAAAGAATAAAAAGTCAAGAATTACTCATAGAAAATAAGATATTCAACTATATTTCAAATAACACCTTACAGATTTATATCTGCTTTATAGCTGTTGGAGAATCAGTTATTTTTTTTGGCATTCCTTCAGCCATTTTGGGGTAAGCTTTTCCACTGATGGAAACAACTGTCTTCATTTCTTTTAGCACCTCTTTTGTGCTTTATTTTACCTTGACAGAGAAAACTGGTAGATACGGATTCCTGGGATTTTTCTTGTCTATATGGTAATCCAGACAGGATTTTGACTATTTCAACACAATAGCCTCCTCTCAGGAAAGCTTTGATTGCACTAAGACATAGTCTGAAGTGCTAACCTCTTAACCTTCTGGAGTTCATTATTTGGACAGATAAAAATGGGGTTTTAAGTGACCTATAAGGTCTCTTGCCAAGATATAATCTAGTTAAAATTTCCTCAAATTGAATTATGCAGACTTCATACCACGTATTGATTAAAAAAGTTCTTCTTAATGGACTCACATAATAAGACTCCTGATGCAGTTTTGGCTTTTTTTCTCCTTTGATGGAGTTGGCTTTTAACAGGAACTTCAGCACTATGTGTCATAAAGATGTCACCAGCTTGATGGCTTCTCAGTCAGATAATGCTTTGACCTCTGGGCCACGTCCTCATTTGAGAAAAGCATAACTGCCAAATTAACCAGCCCTGTGCCACTTATGAATAGATTTCTCATCTTGCATCAATATGAAGAAGCTGAAGACTGCTTTGAGTTATCCCACGCAGAATTGGTGTTGTGTCCTTGATTCAAGATGCATCCTTTGCCTCTCGAAATAGAAACTTTGGTAAGTGCTGCTTTCAAATATCCTTTTTGCCAGGATTTATAATTCTTAATTAATTTCATTTTCAGACCGGAATAAAACCAAACAAAGGAGTGGTTAAATACATTGAAGAGACACCTTCAGCTAGGATTCACGTTTGCTGTAAGGTAGGCAAGGAGTCAGGTGAGTTGAAGTCAAGAGCATCTCTGTAGTGCTGGATAAGGAGGAGAGTCCCAACTTTACCTCTGCCTTATCTGGTTCCACCTATGGCTTTACTATGCAAAATCTTTGGTTTCTGGATTTGGGATCCCTACAACTATAGCATCCATTGGCTATTCAGTCACCTCTATGGGAAGAGCAGGAAGAGGTCTGATGCCTCAACATTGATCAGTTGCCAAACCATGTAGCAAAAGAGAGGCAAAGGGGAAATGGAGTCTGGAAGCTTCTGCAGGGATGGTGTCTCAGGTCTTGCTGTGGACTTTATAGGGAAATCAGAATGTGTCCAGGAATGCTGAGTCTTTGAACTCTGACCTCCTCTGGTTGCTTTGCTTTTAGAGAAAGTAGTTTCAATAGTGGTATGTTTTACGGTGCTCTGTGGGTCATGTGCAAAAACTGCTTAACTGAGTTGATAGAGGAGGAAGGGAATAGGTTGCTCTGTGTAAAAATAAAAGGAAAAACATATTTAAAAAATAATGTTTGTTTTTCTTAAATCTATTTGGTTTTATTTTTTAAGTGCTGAAAATCCCACGCAAAAAAAAAAAGCTTTTCTTTTTCTGGTTTCTTAACTGAGACCATAACTTGTCAGTAAAAATAAGAAATTAAAAATCCAATTTTCCTTTTTTTTTTGAGATATTTTGTGCCAGACCTGAAGCTGACAGGATTTGTTCGATTCATTGTAATTACTAGAAATGCTCCATCCATTCAGAAGCTTTCATGATACCCCTGGGGACTGTTAAGCTTTAATATAAGCTGTTATTCTCTTTATCTTTGATTTTTCCCTCAAATGATTTCCCCTTTTCTCTAGGTGTCTAGTTTTTGTTCCTATAGTGTTGGTTTTTTTTCACTTGAAAAGAAAACAGCAAAGCTACGGTGTTTCGAGTCTTCTATCTGCATTCTAGGGTGCAATTCTTATATAGAACTAAGCTATTTCTTGCTCAAATTATGCTGCAGGTTGGCTACTGAACAAGCTTAATCAATCAATAGTTCCTGTTTGATAGAGTAAATAAATGATGTTGTGCTATGTGATAATCTCTGAGTTTTCCCCCTACCTAATAGAAGGCTCATACCGAGGTGGGAGTGTGGAAGCAGAGGAATTGACAGGCCCAGACAAATGAACAATTAAGGTGGTGTACTGAGGTCTGTGGCACGGCAATAGAATAAGGTAGAATACGTGCCTGGCATATAAAAATCTTATGTGCTAGTTTTAAGTGTCCCAGGAGAGCTGTTGGACAGATACTGCATGGAAAGCAGGGGGATCTCATAACAGCACATTAGCTTGCTTATCCATGGCTTAGAACTTGGAAATATGGGCAAATGAGCTCAAGAACTGTTAGGGAACAGGAACATAGGTGTATATATATATATTTTTAAAGCAAATTTCTGTTTATTTCAGGAAATACATTTTGAAGCAACCCTGGTCAAAGAGGAAGAGGTCAGATACATTGCAAGGAGCAAAGTGTGGGTGTTTTCAGCAGGATGCCCTTTGATCCTCAGCTGCAGCCTGGCTGGTAGTGCCACCAGTCATACAGGTTGTACAAGTTCCAGATTTCAGATTCCACCACTATCCAGCCACATCTGCAGTGTTCTGAGTAGCAAAATGGCAATGAGAAGTGGGTATAATGACAGTATCTCTTGCTTATGTTTTACAGCCATACTGTAAAAGAGCTGTGAGCAAACTGGTCTAGAGGAAGGTGTCCCTGCACATTGCACAGGGGTTGGAACTAGATGATCTTCAGGTCTTTTCCAACCCAAACTATGGTGTGATTCTATATAATTTTTCACCTCAGAAGAAGCAAACACATGTAGCCAGTGTAGTACACTGCCCTGCACTTCCAGTTTGGACAGAAGAGTTGCAACAGCAGATGCTTGAGCAGATATAAAAGCATTGCTAAAGAAATGGACCGAGGATCCAATTCCAGTTTCGGGGTAAGTTAACATGTTTGACTTGGGATTGCTTCTTTTGTTTCTTTTGTGTTTGTTTCTTCCTTTAACACCTATAAACTGCAAACGGGACGATAGGAAAGCAACTCGATTGTGAGTCGTAAATAGGGTTATTGACTAAATACCAGTTGTAGGATCTACACTGCCGACGTGTGAGCGGGAAAACACATCTCAACTGTATGATTTTGTTTCTATTTTCAAAGAAGAAGCAGTTTAAAAAATCATTATCAGTTGCATCCGAGTTGATCGTGTTTGATTTGGAAGGCACTGGGATGCAATAAACAGGAAACCCCAGGGTGCCATTTTACTAAGACAGCTTTCAGAGACGAACCACGGTTTCTGCTGCAAAGCGCTGTTGATTTACATGGATTTTCTTGTCACATGTTTTGGCAAAATGTATCAGCTTGTGCTTCTTAACACCAACAAATAATACTTGACTTGCAAACGAGCTACTTGGCAAGTACCCAGCCACAGGAGGCTTGGAAGCTTGACTGAATAAAGAAGACTTCCGTTTTCATTTCACCAGTTTGTGAACTGGCACTGTCCCTGCCATGGTCAGCTGCAGCCACTCTGATCTTTGCTCTTGATTCTTTGACATTGAAGCTGTTCACCCTGTTAGATTTCACCGTGTTCCAAGCAATGGGAATGAAACCTTTATTTTTTCAATATTCATGTAAACGCCTTAAAGGGATCTCAAGCTCATTTGTGCCCTTGTATTTGAAATTCATCTTTTCTACCTTGTGACATTGGTATCTTTTCCCTCACTACGCAGGGCTTTCAAAATGTTCACCTTTTAAAGAAAAAAAAAATAGGAGCTTACTTTGTATTTTTTCTGTTCAGCCTTCTTGTTCATAATGAGCTTAAATAGAAGGAACATAAACCCCTCTGGAAACCAAATTATGCGCTAGGTTCACTAAAAAAAGTAATTACGTTATAATCAAACTGTCACTTTATGAGCTAGTGGGAGATGAAATACACCATAAGCTGACAAAAGAAGAGGATGGCTTGCTTGCTTAAATATCATTCACAGCACAAAGCAGTGAAGAAACTCTGAATTACACACGGCATAATGAGGAAAGCTCTTGGAGCTGGGGGCCACAGCACTGGAACCAGTGAGACAGATAAGCTTTCTTCTTTCTAACCTTCAGTTATATGGAGCCCAACGTGTGTTCAGCAGACTGGCAGCCCAAGTGTGTTTGGACACAGGGTAGGAAACACTTGTCTCATGATCAGCAAATAAACTGAATACATGCATCATGTTTTGCATGGACTTCCAGTCTCTGCAGCTATGGCATTTCTTGAGTTATTGTCCTAGTTTGCTTCATTTGTGCCACCAAGCCTTCGGCCTTTTTCAGTCAAGGCTGACTCACATCTCAGGTTAAACATGCAAGTGATTTGGGAAAAGCTGAATGTGTGAGGGGTTGTATTTGTTCGTGTCTTGCCAAGTCTTGTGGCCCTTTCCACCTGCATTGCCTTAATGGGAATGGAAATGCCTTAGTTTGAGGGGAAATGCACATTATTTCTTAGCCACTGAGTAGACCAGCAGCGTTTGGGCAGGAGGGGTTTTCATTAGTCCTTCAGGCCCTTGTTGTGTGAGCTTTTGTTGAGTGAAGTCCTTTTGCCACCCTGATCTAATTTCTTTGAGATTTGAGTCTGCTCCCTGCATTCCATTCTCTGCCAGCAATGGATCCTTTACACGGACACTCCAGCAATCAATCCTGATGCTTGAGAGCAGGCTGGTGGCAAGTGGTGGGCATGGATGTGGGGCATAGGAAGAGGGAAGGGAGCTGGCTTTTTGTTGCCAAGCCTTGCCTTTCTAGCAGGGCCCACAAATGAGGCAAGCAGGCGGCTGCAAGTTTATAGTCAAAGATGGACTAAAGCCGGTGGAAGTCTGGCACCAGAACAGCTCCTGCTGCCAGTAATGCATCTTATGAAAGAGAAATTGGTTTTCTTTTGGGGCTTTTCTTCTGGTCACTTAAAAAAGATGCAGGAATATGAATGGGTTGATCCTCATGTCTCTGTACTCTGATTCTGTTTCTATTCTAGAGATACAAAGGGTGACAGGCCAGGAGGTCTATCCCGTGTGGAAGTGGCACAGCTGATACCTTTATTCAGTGTCTTGCTTTCTCTTTTCATTCAGTGAATACAGTGACAGAGCAGCACAGCGTGCTGTGCTGCCCGTGCACGTGTTGTTTTCTGTAAGTGTATTCGTGCCACGTATCTATCTGGCAGGGTACTGTGAGCCTCAGGAAAACAGAAGCCGGGGGAGCCCACTGGAGACTTCCCAATACTACAGCTTGGTTTTGCAAGTTTCAATCTCTAATTTGGTCAAGTCTCGTTAACTTTATTTTTTCAAAGAAAACTGGAAGCTTTCCCATTCCAGGAACATGGACACAAAATGAAGCTTCGTCAAAAAGAAGTAATAATAAAACCTTGTCCAAATGCCTGTGTAACTGTAGTCTGTTTTGACAGAAGTACCTTTTGTCAGAAACAGCTTTTGACAGCAGCTCTCTCCCCAGATAAAAGTAGCAGCTTGAAAGCCACTGTTTTTAACTTGTCATTGAATCTCATCACAAGCAACCCCTCCCATGGACTGGTGGACTACTGCTGAGCTCTAAATTGTGTATTGAAAGCCTCGTGAGCTTAAATTTAGTATCATCCCCATTTCGTGTTATGCTTCTGTTGCTGGCAACAGACATGGTTAAAATGCTACAGTTTTCATCTCATTAAATTCATGTTTCTAAACCCACTTTTATAATGTAAGGTATGTAAAATGTCTTCAATTACAAAAGAAAAAGAAACAACAAACAAACCCACAAACAGACCTCAGCTCAAAACAGACAAACAAAAGGATTTTCACAACAGAAGATGCAAGTAAGGTTTTCTTGGCTTTGGATGTGCAAACACTTTCATGAGGCCACTGTGCCCTGTTAGCCATAACAAGGCTATTTCATAGAATCATAGAATAGTTAGGGTTGTAAAGGACCTTCAGATCATCTAGCTCCAACCCCCTGCCACTGCACCTATCACAATGTCTTGGATAGTCTCACTGTCCACATTGTTGTTCTGCTGCAAGGATGAAGGCAAGGATGCTGGTTAACCTCCATACCCATCTCCCTGCACACAAGAAGACTCACTGCACAAGTCTCAAAGATGCAGCAGAGCCGTGGGTGGAGTTTGTGCTCCCTGGTTGATTTGAATCCTGAAGGAATGTGAAGGGATTGGCATGTGCAACTTGTATTTGCTCTCTGGGGAACCAAATGCCTTTCTGGCTGTCCTCAAACTGACCTCGAGCTGCAACAGGTGATGCAAAAAAGGCTTCTGAAGAGATCAAATGGTAGAAGAAATCTGTTTAAACAGCTGGGGCTTGAGTTGTGAGTCTGCCTGTAGTGTAGGTAAACTTTATTGATTCCCTAGGGAAACCTGAGATGGAGAAGGGGTATAATACCCTCCTTTCAGAAAAGAAACAAACCCCTTGGATCTAGTATTGCTTAACCCTCACAGAGGAAGTTGTAAGGCTTTTGCTTCTGCTCCTAACCAAAGTGTACCTAACACAGCTATTTTTACAAAGCTAGCAAGCAGCTCTGGAGCTAGTGTCAAGAACTGGCAATACACTATACTCCCTGCCTTTTGACTTTGCCTAAACTAATCATTGGTAGGGTCCCATAAGCAACTAAATCTTTCTGCTATTGCATCCTCTTTGCCCTATGAAGTTCATAGCAACACCATAATTTAGCTCAGAAAGATGGTGACACCATAAGGCTAAATACTATATTTTACCTTCCTGCAGCAGCTGCTGCCAAGTGACCTAAACACTGTGCATGATAAAGAGGAAAACACAAGTTGCACCTTAGAAGTGATGGGTTTGGGGTCTTTCTGTAAGTGGAGTCATGGAAGTGTGTAAAGACAAAATGACCCAGGTGGGCCTGGAGCAATGTTCTTGGGGTGTATCACAGTTACGGATGACAGCAGGTGACATAGCTGATTCAGCCTGCAAATAAGGGTGGCATAAATGACCCTGGTAGGTTCGTGACATTGTGTGTATCTAGGGAGTCTCCACACAAGTTACAAAATGTGGCTTGACTCTTAGTTTCTTTTGTTTTTCATTTGTCCATATTCCCCTCTTCAGCTGATCTGTTAAGATCTGTTCAGGGCCTGATGATTTGTCCTTATCCTGAAAGGAAGAAGGATATTAAATCTGTGTTGCTTCTCTACAGGGGCCAGTGCACAAAGTCTCTGGCACAGCTTGACACTGAGGTATAAGGGCTGGACTTTCCCAAAATATACTAACAGAGCGGGGTTATGTTCTATTTGCTGGATGCATTTGCTCCATACTTTTGGAGGTGCCATAGGGCTGTCAGTTGTCACCAAAGTCCTCCTTTCTGAAATGGCTGAGCATCTCTGTCTCTTTGGATCATGCTGCTCTCCCTTTCCCTCTCCACCCCAATGCCAAGATGCATCATATGGGCAATACGACTCTGAAACTGTTCTACTGTCCATTCTCCTTACAAGAACCCATATGAAGAGTGGTGAGGCTGATAACTTATGCAGCTTATGTCTTTTTTTTTCCTTCTTCAAGCATGGTGAGCCTGAGGAAAATTAATATCACACTTCTTATAAACCAGTCCTTGTTGCTGATGCAAACCCCCATAAAAGCATGTCAAAACAACGTGCTTAAGTGTGGCAATTTGCTAAAAAGTAATGGTGTCAGAAAACAGGAGCAACTCATATGAAAACTTGAGGAAAAGAGCTTTGGCTGGTTGCAAACTCGAGATTTTACATAGCATATCAGCTCAGAGGTGAGTGATGAGTTTTGTTGTGGAGAAATCAGAGATGGAGGTTTTTAGGAATCAATCTTTGATATATTAGAAAGAAAAAACCCCAATCTGTGCTGCAAGAAGCAAGCTTTCCATGTAATCCCTGCTCTTCAAGCACAGGCAACAAGGCTTGTTGACCTGGATGAAATAAATCACTGGTCTTAATGC